ACAGGTTTGGAGGTAGGTCCTGGGGGGGGGTACCATATATATATATATATATATATTCTTTTTGTATTTTATTTATTTATTTTTTGCTTCTGGATTTTATTATATCTCATGAGTATTTTTTTATTTATTTTTTGCTTCTAGATTTTATTATATCTCATGAGTAACTTATGTTTATTTAGGTGTATTTACGTAGTTGTATGTGTGGACGCACGGTGTATGCATGCATCCATAACATGCGTTCTTGAGAAAGACGAGTCCTAAAGAGGCGCATGCGTTCGGCAGCCCGCGAAAGGGGTCCTTTTAAAGCGGAGGACCTGGCCGGAAACTGGCCGATCGGAATGCCCAAAAGCACCGGCGAGCGTCAGTCCCTCATAACTTTGGCTTCGGGAACTGCATGTGGTGATGAGGGGGTTCGTTGATCGACAGATTTTAGGGCTTTGTGGAGGGATTGCAACCCGCACTCGGCCCAGGGGCACCCGATCCTGCCCCTCTGTACTTGCTATGTAAGCATGGAGATCAATGCACGCGGCCGAGAACAAAGCGAAATCTTTGGCGTGTTCGTCGCATGCAGGGCCGGACCTGCACAGCAGGGCCGATCCCGGTCGCTTCTCGTCAGGACTACCAGACTTCCGGTTGGACCACGCATGCAACTCTCACAGCCAATGCTACCCTTAAATGAGGATGCGACGAGCATCAAGATGAATAGAAACGACATGCCAACGCAAGCAGCAGAAGCCAAAGCAGACACTACGCCGCGCGACCACATCCACGACGGCGACGGCCACCACCGCCACCACCACCACCACCACCACGTCGTATCACAACCATCGCCACGCTCATTCGGCTCATCGTCAGCATCAACAGCCATCTTCGCAGGAACGACAACACAAAAAGACGCTGTGCTGTGTTGGCCTGGGTATTGTGCATCACTGTTAGGGACTGCTGGTGCCATTTCTCCTGGCTTTGATGTCTCAGCCTGCTCTCCTTCCCATACAGCCCTCACAACAATCCTTGTAAGACCCTATAAACACCCCGGTCAAACGCCATAGCCTGAGCTCGGTACCTTAGGGGGTGATGTCCTGGCTGGGGATGTCGTCGTCCGATGCCCTCAGCCCCGCTCTCTGCTGGTAAGGGGCACGTAGAAACGAGGCTGTGTGCCAATCAATGGGAGCATTTTGGATGTTCGGGTTTAAGGAATTAATGTAACAAGCGTTCAGTCATTGGGCAGATCCAGGTTTAGGTCAGGAAGATTGAAGTCCTCCATGTTGAGTGCTTGACGGGTGCGGGCCTACAGCTTCGGCTTTGCGCGCACCACCCTGTACTGTATCGTTCAAGACCCGACCCTGAAATAAGACCCTTCATATTCAGACACCCCCTGTCACTGAAGTCGAGACCTGACAGTTTCTAAAAGACTGGAGGCAGATGCCTTCGACTGCGAGAACTCAAAAGTGCAAAGTTAGGGGTCCAGAAAAAGCGGCTGGAATAGGGACGGGACGAAGTGACAGGCGTTCGAAAAAAACACCTTTATGAATGTACCTAACTTTGAAGGATTTCGGTATGCTCGGCAATGTTCTAAACCGAAACCGCCGTCACGGCTTTCGATGATGCTGGATGAGATGGAGCAGTCTTCCATTTCAGAAACGTCCAGGGCTACCAGAGGTCTTCGGATCAAATTCCAGGAGTCGCTGCTTGTGGTATTGGTTGCTGCTGGTCTGGTCTTGAGGCTGGACCGTCCCAATGAGCTGGTCGCTTTGCCGAATAGGAACAGCAACAGCGAAGGCAGCTGCTAGGGTCTGCTGCGCATACATCATGGAAAATGAGTTTGGGGCCAGTTGTACTCGTCAAGAAGAACGTCCAAACAAGCTGCGCGAGCTCACCTTTTCCTTGCACATTGGCTAAGGCGACCGACCTTGCGTGATGCAACTGCCGTGAGACGAATCTGTATCACATCGCAGTGAAAAGCTACTTTCCTGGCCGGCAATAGTTACTTTCAGGGTTGCGGGTTTGGCGTTGTGTTCGAGGTTGCGGGGGGTTTGCACAGTTGAAAGGGAAGTGCTGCTCTGTCGCTTCGGCTTATTCTAGACACTACGCCCACTTCACTGATGCCACATCGCCATGTGCGCACCGCCACGCCTGCTCGGCAGTGATTCCGGGGGCACGGACAACTTCAGACCCAAGCGCGACAGACCTCTGCAGCACTAAGCTCCACCCCCATCAGGGGTTGGCACAGCATGGCGTGATGGTTGGCATGGCAAATTTCTGCCAGCACGTCCGTGAAGCGGAGGTGGAAGTCCAAGAGCGGAATGTCATTCGCATCCTGCCCGAAAGGGTTTTCCAGCTCCATGGCAACCTCGTTCAAGCTCCATAGACTTATGAAGAGGATGAAGCACAGAATAGGCCCAACAACATAGGAGCCTGTGAATGTCGTGACATACACCGGGATGAAACACGAGAAGCCGATCAGCAGCCAACCAAGCAGCTGTGCATAAGGCATGGGAAACGGAACATCTGCAACTTTTTGGCAGTTGCAGAAGCCGAGCATGCCATTGGACAGCTCCTGATACATTCTAGACTGGATCGGCGCTGCAATGTCCAAGTGCTTCATGGAATCGGCTAAATCCCACACAATCCAGTACATCACCTCGGCCAGCTCACGCACAGCTCACTAGGCTCTAAAGATTGAGATCATCCTTTCCTTCAGCCTTTGCTATTGTTTCCTTGGACGTTCCTTCAGAAAAGAAAAGCAGGGCTTGAAACCACTGAATTCGGAGACTTGCCGCATGAGACTCTAAACCTCGCACCTCTGCCCCTTGAGGTATCACGAGGACTCCACGGGCCGCTGAAATCAACTCGAGGCCTCACGCTGACCTAAACCGAAATGCCAAACCGACCGCCCTCCATTCTCATCTTCACATATCAGGGTCGTCATGCGGAACCTCGCGCTGAATCCCAGCAACAGCCGCAATATCACCATCATCTCCAGGATCATCAAATGTTTTATGTGGGACTGTCCAGCACGATTCCAAACAAAACCATCAATACAGGCTTCTCTCTGGCAGTCGTGGCAGGCCCGAGGGCACAGGTACATAAATCCTAGGTCCTGCGCTCTGGGCTCTGGGGTCTAAGAGCAGTGTCATAGGCCACACACGTCCTGATCAACTCAGGCCACTGTGGCAACGTGGTCGTACGATCGCACCAGCAGCTCTTGCTGGTCCTCTCTCTGTCCACTCGACACAGGTCCGGTACTATTACCTTGATACTCCCCGTCTGCAACTTCGACGTCTAGCCGGGCTTTTAATATCGCCTTGCTCAGCTGGGACCTGAACGCTCTCACTCACTTCCACACCTGGAAAGAATCTGTTAAGTTGAAGGTCGAGGATGGCCAGAGAGTCAAAGCTCTGTGGACGATCTACTTGATATGGAGGCATGGAGCACCGGACTGGGATTTTGGGCTCGGCTGTCTACGCTCGTATACTCGGGAACCTTACAGAACAGTACTCGGTACTGCTAGTTTTTTCAGGCCCCATGCTTCTGTAGAGGGTGCTGGAAAACCAACATCCAGCATGCACAGAAACGCATCACAGGCCAAAACGAGCGTGCATGCGCAGTCGCATGTGTTTCTTTTGTGCCAGAGGTGTGTGTGTGTGTATATCAACAGACATCTCATGTGCGTCGCTTGTACTGGCAAAATCAGATCAGCACATCTACGAATTCTGCACACGTAGCCTGATCGACACACAAGAAACTGGAGAGATACATAGCCAACAGATAACTAAATACGTCGGTAGATAGATAGATACACAGAAAATGATAAACGACACATAGATGCTCTGTAGGAAGCTACATCAGTAGGGTGGTAGAAAAGAAAGAACCCAGGACCTGGCTGCTTGCTTACGCATTCTGAAGGTATCTGCTTCCCAAAGCCCTATAAGCACCAGATCTTCGGAGCTTATAAACAGCATTGCTGGCTGTTCAAACACGAAAGATCTTCACAAATAGGGCCGGGTCCCTCTTAACCTCCTTCTGGTCAGGGTTTTGTACTTCTTGGGGATCCACGAAATCATACTATGGAGAAGCACCCACATCTTTTCAATCCGCCCTTGAGCTTCACGTCGGCTCCTTTGAGGGGAGCTCGAAGATGGGATAGGCATCGTACATGCTGTCACGCTTGAAATGCCTCCTGCAAAAGAAAGGAGTTCAGGTTCTCAGTGCTCACGCTTGCAGTTCTGGAAGTTATGGGACACGTCCTCTGCGAAGCTTCGCTACAGGCCGAGGCCCTGAGATTGCAGTGCGCCTTCAAAGAATTAGTCCTTCTGGGCCTGGAAGACATGGTTTTCTGGTATGGAAAATAGCGTCCACGGCTTCTGGAGTGTGCCAAGGCGCTTCGGTACGACCTGTTTCGTGAAGAGGTGAATTATATACCGCAGTCTCGACAACTACATCGAGGTTTGAGAGGCTTGAATGTCAACTACAGTCTACATATACAGGTACTAGTGGGGAGGTTATTCCTAGCTACTTGCAAGCCCTATACTGCTGCTTCGCGGGAGAGACGGAATGTCCTCTCCACGAATTTCGGAAGCGAAGCTGCGCAGCGCTCGTCCTGCTTCATGGCTCCGGCTTCCATGGTCTGTACAGGGTGTGCTAATCAATCAAGGCTCACGAAGGGTCTATATTATATGTGCATATATATGTATATATACATATATTACAACCACACACGCACACCCTGACGTTCCTTGGCATGTTCCTGCATAGCTAAGTGTTGCGTGACTTCACTTGAAGCCCTAAGCCTTAAGTGAACTCGAAATGGCGACCCTTTTTTTGACGGACGTCTGCATGCCGGTGAACCTCGACTCGCATGGAAATGCGTGAGCGTATGCGCTCGAAGCCATCGTCCTTTCAGGTGCTGCGGGCGTTGTGGAACATGGGAACTATTGAGGTCCTGTCACACATGTATTTCGCTGCGCCTCTGACTGAAACTTCCACACATCTTTGCTGAAGCCACACGACCAGAGCTCCACAAAAACAGTCTCACTTGTCTTGAAGACAGCAACACAAGAGATAAAAGAAGTGGAAACGTATTCACCAGCATGAACAGGTTCGTCAATCAATGCCGCAGTCATCATCAGCATGATGACGAGCACGGTCGTGGTATGTGCTATGCTAAGCCTGCGGCAACAAGAAAACACCACCGGCAAGCAGCGGCACCATCATCGTCATCATCGTCATCATAATGGTCATCATCACCATCATCATCATCATCATCATAAGGAGCAGGACGGATGCAAAAACATGGCAGAACGGACGGCCAGTAAAGGCTGAGAAACAGCAAATTTGGATGCATCCAGTTGCAGCAGGATTGGAATCGGCGAGAGGCAAGCTCGTGACAGGAATCCAACCGACAGCCAGCCATGCCGTGACCTGCTGGATGTCGAGCTTTCTGCTATGGCAATTGCGAATCACACCACACTGTACATCTCACCCTATGTCAGGAGGAGCAGGAGCAGGAGGAGGAGGAGGGGGAGCAGGTGTTGCTATTGCCGACGCTGCTGCTGTGGCCTTTGTTCTTCTTGTTCGGCTTCATTTGCTGCCCCTGTTGTGACTGCCATGGCATTCCTGTTCGTGCTGCCGGTGCTGGTGGCGCTGGTGTTGCTGGTGGTGCAGGTGGTGGTGGCCCTCGTCGCCACATTCAGCCGGAGGAGTGGGACAGCTGGAGCAAGAGCAGCTGCTGCAGATACAGCACCAGTCGCGAAGCTCGCTGCAGTCTGATAAGTGTTGCTAGTTCTAGAAGGGGCGAAGGGTGCGCAAGCAGCAATCGCAATGAGGTGAAGCAGGTGCATGGGCATGCTAGGGACAGGAGTGTGGGAAAGGGGCCAAGCAAAGCAGGAGCTGCGAGACATGCGACATCCAGCTTCGGCAAACCCAACAAGAAGAACTTTGGTGTCCACGACACCAAGTGAAGGAACAGAGAAGAACAGGCCAACATCAAGATTCAACAACTTTTCCCAAGCCCTGAACCCTGACGCAGGGGCTGTCCTTCATACGCTCATTGTCTCCACGTGAAAGCCTTTCCGCTGCGAAGGCGCTGAGCAAGGCAAAGTTCCACTTCATCCGTAGCCTGGATGGAGAAAGCGGGGACGCGGGGCCCATGCGGGGTTTCACGTTCAGGGGCTATGGGTTCAGGTATCCGACGCCTCCGATCTTCGAGGTTTGGGCAACTTCGGGAATTTGGAGCTGGCTTTGCTTTTCCCAGCACGACATGGTGCCCAGTATTGCCCTGGACCCTGCGTTTTTCAGAGGCAGACACTGTGGAAACCTACTCTAGGACGCGCCAGCTCTTGTCAAGGCTTTAACATAGCATGAGCCTTGAACGCTCCGGTCCCACATAGGATCCCAACGGTTCAGCAAAAGCGGCTGCTTCTGCCAAAGCAGGTCGGCTCTGGCTCGATTGCCCTCCTCGCTCACATCGCTCCGTCTGAATGGGAAAAACCCCTCGGGCAACTTGTCGGGCTGGATCTCCCTCTAGGATTCTCTCCAGAGACAGCTCAGCATCTGACGCACACCGGCCAAGAGCATGCAGACGTTCGATCTCACATCTCCATACTTAGCCCGAGCCAAAGATCCACAAACCCTCAACCACCAAGCTGCAATGACAAAGCTCCAACCGGAAGCCATGCAAAACTGTTTCGTGGCACTTGCAGTGGAGATCCTACTATCTAACTCTTAAGGCCCTGCGAGAGTCTGAATCTTGAATCAAGATTGAAGCCGACCCACAGAACGTCCTCGAATGCCGCCTTGGCCGTGATTTCTGCGAAAGCCTTCGGTGGTTGACCGGACGGACTCTGGAGGCTTTGTCGACAGCACGACAGCGCCGGACACCAACAAAGACTTGCATCCATACAAGGAGAATGCCACACAAACACACCCGCCCGCCCGCACGAGATTTTCTCACACGCACACACGAGCACGCGGACGAGTGAAGAGAGAAAGAGACAGGCAGCTAGAGAGAGAGAGAGAGAGAGAGAGAAGGAGAGAGCGAGAGAAAGATGGCGAGAGGGAGACGCGCACAGGTCACAAGTCACATCTGGCCAAAGACCAACGCGCTTCAAACAGGTTCTGCTATCTACTCCGCAGCGTTTGTGGCTTGGGTTCTCTGTGTCGCCTCGACCCAAAGCACTATGAGTCCTGCATCCGACAGGCCTGAAACTGTGCGAAAGCATCCATCCACCTCAGTTATGACTCGTGAAAACCCGACTTTTCTTCCCTTGACACCCTTGCACTCAGGTTTTCGTTCGTTTTGATTTGGGCAGGACCGGCACAGCAGGGGGCGAAGGCTTACTGCATTCAGACAAGGCGCTTGCTGTACATCATGTGGAGATGGGTGACTGCCTCCCAGAACCTTCCCCACGCCAGTTGGGTTCGGAAGACGATGGCGAAAGTAACTCCGACCCCCACGGCCTGGAAGCCGTAATGGTGTTCGATGTTCGGAGCGTACTCCCAGCCACTATCTATCGAGTGCTGGACGGCGGCACCAAGTCCGGCAAGTACAAATCCCGCCAGCAGTGTCTCAGGCCGGAAGAAAATGCTCCCCTGTCGCTGCAAGAGGAGCCGCAACAGTCTCCGGTTGTTGTAAAGGAGCATAGCATTTGCTTCACATGGCACAGACACGACGCAGCGTGGAGATGAGGCTTCTGTGGTCAACCGTGCGACTCGACCTGAATTTCGGCTTAGTGGGCCTTGCGGCGCAGGAGGTTTGAGTGTGGGGGTTGGCAGGGAGGGCGGTTGTCCCAGAAGGGCCATCTACTTCGAGTTGAGCTGGGTCTTGCCATCCATATAATACGAAGCATGAACCGTAGACAAAAGTAATAGGATTTTGCCTGCTCTGAGCACTTTGGCCCACTACGGCAGCTCTCTTCAAGAGCTGTCTCTCGAGCCAGACCTATGCCCGGGCCGGCTTCAGCAAGGATTCCCCAAAGGCTCGCAGGGAGGTCACTTTTTTGGAGCCCTCGTCCGTTCCAGCCTTCGAGGACACCATAACCATGACTCATGACAGTCATTCTTGCGTATGGGGTCCCTTGACAAAGTCCATGAGGGCTCGGACCCAACACACCCCACAAGCCAGCAAGGCTATCTTAAAACCCAAAGCAACAAACCCCTGGGCACGAGGACCCTGAAACCCCATGCAGCCCAACCCGGGCCATGAAAGCAATCACCTCTGAGATGCAAAGTGTGCAGCTGAGATCTAAACCGCCACGAGGATCTGAGAAGGAGACCATGACTTCTGCGCCAACTCTTCCTGCGGCAACATGGATCTCCCGAAGCTCTCCGAAACTTCGGGGGGCTTGCGCAGTCTCTTTGGCGCGGCTAGTCCTTCGGGATAGAGGTTCTGCTTGAACCCTCGGCCGGTTCGATGCCGTCAACAGCAGGACCCTAAACCCCCGACAGAAACCGGGGAATGACGCAGGCCCTCGGATGCAGCCTTCGGCCAGTTCACTTGGCAGGCTCCAGCACTCGGAGCCCTGAACCCCAAGATGTTTAAACAATCGGGGGATCTGATCCAAGAAGGCTGGAACGGCTACAGAGAAGATGAGCATGGCTCCAAACCGAGAAGTGCTCACCACCCCCGAAACCCTTGAAGACTTACAGAGCCCTTGATAGCAACCTTATAGACCCCATTCAAAAATTGAAAGAAACAAAGCCCTTGAGAAATCCTGAACCGACTCGCCTGGTCGGTCGCCAGAGCCGTTGACTCACGGCTGCAGATAGACCCGCGAGCTCCGCACCTCCAAGAACCCAGAAAGGCTTCTGTCCGGGATCCCAGCCAAAAAAAATGCCAGAAGGCGCTTGGTTGCACCTTCCTTGCGGCGCCAAGCAACAGGACCTCAAGAACCAATTTCTGAAAGGTGACTTTCTCGTGCGCGTTGAAACCTCAACACCCATGAAGAACCGACAGAAGCTCAGAAGGCCTACTTGGCATCTGGAGTCGCTTGTGAGATTAGCGTTCCCCCAACTCTGAGGCTCAAACTCAAACCCTAAACTCACCCCTTTCTCCTTTCTCTGGTGGTGGCGCCTCGGGGAGGAGCAGGGGGAACTCGGCGAAATCAGGTTCTGCCCGGGACTGAGACAGTGCGTGTCCTGCGCCAGCAAGACACGAGCACTCAGAATTTCGGCCAGTGAAAAGCAAACTGCACGAGACCTCGACAGCCGGTGCAACGGAGTCTTCTTCATCTCACCCCTCTCAGATAAAAAAGAACCAAGAGAGAAACCAAGGGAGCTTTCAACTCAAAACGGAATTCCAGGGACCCGAGATCGGCGCAATCCTGCGACTCATCAACAAGTGAATGCAACCATGAAGGTCAGGCCTGGTTATGGCAGATCAAGCCCCTGAAACTTGAGCTTTCCTGGTATCGCCCACTTCCCAAACTTTTTGGCCGAAAAGCCCCGAAACCTCGAGCCAAAAACCCCCCCAAATCACCATGAATCCTACCGCAGATCCCTGCAAGCCCGTCCATCTCTGAGAAGCTCTCCTTCGACCAAGACCTGAACAAAAACATGTCGAGGGCAAGGCTGGTCTTCCCCTCTTCAAGGACTGGTCATATCTTAAAATACTATGATTCTGATACTAAATTCATATATCTCGTAATATGAAACTTCATCGTCGTGACGGTTATGGCAGGAAAAAATGCCGCCATGGCAGCCATGGTAGTTGTAGTAAGACTGGGCGGAGTAGTAGTCACAGTAACAGTAACGTCCTGGATTGATTGGACTCCCGAGCCCTGCAGCTACAGGGACAGCGCCCTGTCGGAGGCAATTTGCAGAAAGGGCCCTTGGACAGAGTAGAGTAGAGCCATGTTGGAGTCGGAGGAATAGGTGCCCAGAGTGCCTTCTGCTCTCGACAACCACAGCACAAAAACCTGCACTTCCTTCAGCGTCTGCGTCCGGTTCTCCCGAAGAACGTATCCATTATACTACATTTCTAATAAGGACGCCCCAAAGTAGTTTAGGTCATTATTGAGGCCCCTATAACAGGGCTCCATGCTGGGTGCCAGGCCGAACCGAGTCGCTGTCGCCGCTTGCTCCGGTGTAGTCCATCTGGGGGCCGCTGCTTTTTCCAAATAAAAAGGGGGAACCGCACAGCCCGAAGTTCGCCGAGCTCGAGTTTCCGTGTTTCCCTTTCCGAGGCCCTCTTGGGGAGAGGGTTTCGGCTCTTCAGTTTTCTCCCGAAAAAACGTATGACTTTTACTTGAAGATTGATCCTCTTGCACGTGTTGCCCACCCGAGAGTTCATCGAGGTGGTCCTGGTGTTCCTGCTTCCCTTTCTTTCCTGCTTGCTGCTGCTACTGGTGCTCCCGCTGCTGTTGGTGATTGCTGCTGTCGTCGTTCTCTTTGCCGTCGTCTGCATCGCCAGCGAGCCAGTGTAAAAGAGTCAGGGCTTTAGGCTTCGGAGTATCACCTGCTCTATCACTTACGTAGTTGGGTACTACACAGAAAGTCAGTTCTGTTGCTATAAAAAAAATCCGGGCTCCCGAGGTCCCGAAGGGTCGACCCCTGCTCTGAGGCCGCCACGTCGTCGAAGTAGAAGGAGAACCTTGTGGCTCAGCCACGTCACTAGCTATCATGTAGCAAATGATAGTGTTGTTCTAGTATCATGATAGTATTGTGGTTGTGTTGATATAGTATTCTTATGGATATAGTCTAGCAATCAAATACTGCATGTCTTGTACTATGGTGTGTGAGAGGGCTCAGGATCTTTATGGGTTGCAATTAAGGCTTTTCGGGCCGGTTTTCAGCACTCACGGTTCGATGGATACGGCCAGGTATAGGGATGTTTGGGCTTTGACAGCTCGGCTTAAATCTTAAGCCAGGCAAGGGTGGGTACCATGTGGTGGCCTATAGCGTACCTACTTTCATGGTCGGGTATACGGTATACTTGCTTATTATTCAGGATGTGCCAGCATGTGTCGAACTCTTTCCATCAGTGGATCGCAGTCGTAGCATTTTCGGCAGCTCCCTTCTGTATGGAAGCCGCAATGCAGAGTCGCTCGGGAACGGACCTGAAAAAACTCCCTAGCTCCCTGCCATCTGCGGTCGTGCGGCGGGTCTCGCGGCGAAGGCCGTGGCGACTTGGCATTTTCCTGGAAGCGGTAGAATCAGGAAGTCACCAGAAAGGGATCTTCAACGAATGAGTCAGAAGTTTTATAATCGTATAACTTACAGTAAGGGTCCTGCTGATAAGACCACGACAAGGATCCTACCATTCAGGGTTCAGAAGAAGAAGAAGAAGGATGGAGCAGCCCGAAACAAGCCGATGGCGAGGCTTGAGAGGTTCGGGCTCCTGCATCGGAGGTAATGGTTTCGGGCGGTCGCGCTTCCCAATCCAGAGCTCAAGAACTCCATGCTTTCGAGTGAAAGAGCTTGGGTCTTGGGCGTTGGGCTTTCTGGACAAAGCTAGCTCCAGGACCGTGGTGTCAGGTCAAAAGGGCCTGCAGGCCACTTTGGTGAGGCCCCAAAAATACCCTAAACCCTAAACCCTAAACCCTAAGCCCTAAACCCTAAACCCTAAACCCTAAAAAAGATGGAGAACTTCGGAACACCCAGAGCCGCCGAAGGGCATCCAGGAGCGAAGGCAACACGGGCGCCGGCTCCTGGCAAAGACTTCCCCTTTAAAGGGTCCCATTGTAGTAAGATGGTAGCTACTTTGTAGGTACTTGGGCCCTGAAAGTATATACCATACTATAACTTGGACCCTTTGGGTTCCTCACTTCCACCGGGACTCACCCCACAGAGCTTTCCGACAAGGGCGATGCAGGCAGGCGTGGGACAATTCATGCGGCAGCGGCAACGTGCCCCTCAGAATGCGCAAAGTACGGTATGCACGGGCATGTCGGCGCGAGTCGGCTACTCTCTGCTGCAGGTAGGAGGATGAAGAGAAAACGAGACGACCGGCAAGAGAAGGTTGCAGCTCTCAGGTCCAAGGAGTCTCCTGAAAAGAAAACGGGAGGATCGACAAGAGAACGTTAAACCTCTCAGGTCCGAAGTGTCTACTGTTCGGGAGCCGATCGCCTCCTGCAGCAATAGAAAGCTGTCTCCATCTGATCTTAAGACGTCGAAAGTTTCTCCCTCTGCTCAAAAACACAATGCCCCTTAACCCTCTGCATCCTCCCATCTCCCTAACTAAACCCTATTAAACCCTCTACACTTCCGAAACCCGTTAAACCCTCCAAAGCATTTACTCCCTTCCCAGATCGCGCATCCCAAGACCTCAAAGAAGCACACCAACGCACGCGGCGAGCCGAGGGGTGCCACAGCACCGGTCCTCGATAAAGAAGTCTTCTAGGCTTTTGTGAAACCTGCCGAGGGCTTCGTAAGATTCTTCTCAGAAGACACGTGCTCCACGGACCCATCACATCGCGGAACCAGCTCTGGGTATCGTGGTCCCTGCTGTGCTTCGGCACTAAAGCCTCACTTTATCACCCAAACTCTGAGACGAGCTACTTTTAACAGGAAGAAATCCACGGATCCAAGAGGCCGCGGGAGGGAGGCGCTGCGCTTTGACGACATCCGTGGCCGCCGGCGGAGATCTCCGAGGTCCTGACACAGGCCGACCGGGACTTACGCCTGTAGCTCGTGTGTGTTGTTGTGGCTCTCGCATGGCAGAAGCCGAAAGCCAACTCCCGCAGGTCTCGTAGGGAGTTCGAGGGACTGACCAGGAAGACTGAGGGCTTCCAAACATTGTTACCTCCTACATTGTCCTACATGGCTGAGCGAGTCGAGGAAATGTTGATTTAGGACGTGTTTTTTTCCCACCCGCCCAGCCGACTATGTCGCACCACAGGGATCTCGAGAGAAACTGAAGAGGGGGGAGTCCCAAGACGAAACACACTCCCTGGATCGACACGACAACGACAAGTGTACAACCATACCAGGACGTGTTTTTTGCTTTCGGCTGTTGCATTCGGGAGTTTGATTCTGGGCTGGGTGCTTGGCGCTTGGGGTTTGCAGCTTCGGACCTGCAAACCCCAGCACTTGCGATGAGTCAGTCAGGGCTCGAAGGGGCCGGTCGGAGATTCCCATGGCCCCTGCTGTCTTATATGTGTCGGTTGGCCATTCGACTAGCTTAAGTTTAGGGCTGCCATGCTTCCGTCATGCTTCCGTCTGAGTGAACCCTCATAGGCATCATCGGCAGGACAATCATGATTTCGTTGACACCATCAGCAGCACCAGCAGTTATGAACATAGGGGCCATCCATCAGCGTCTTTGCTCGTCCCAAGCTCAAGCCCGAACCCAAAGGCTGAAGCCCTAGTTAACTATAATATATTGTATTATATTACAGTAGATTATATTACAGTATATGATATTACCGTATATTATCTTACAGTATATTATCTTACAGTATATTATCTTGCAGTATACTATACTACATTATATTTCCATTCGAGCCAACTCTTCCAACCTGAAACCCCTGCCGTCCCAAAAGGGATGGGTCCTTGGCCTTCGGCGAAGGCAATGCAAGCTTTGGCAATGTCGGCCGGATGGCCGGAATGGGAACCTGGCTTCGATTCGCACGCCACAGTGATAGTCTATGATGGACTCGCACCTTCGAAGCTCGATGAGGCCCGAGGGGCTGTTTGGATTTAGGGATGGAGCTAGGGGATTATGGGCTGAGGGTATCCATCCGGGGACTTCCGTGAAAATGCAAGTCCGAACCCCAAACCCACCTTTCTCTTGTCCTTAGGAAGAATTCTGGAGACTACCCCGATCGCGGCCTCAGATCTCGCGACTTCGGGTTGCGGTTGCATCACCTCGCAGGAAGCCCGGAGCAAGCTAGATTCTTCATAAGAAGAATCGTACAATCATGGAATGGTATTGCTACCGGTGTTGCTACTTATGCCGGCTCCTATACTCTACATCGACCCGGCGCGGCTCGTCCATGCGTGAAGACTGATCCTTCCGAAGACACTCCGTGCCCGGCGCAGCAGAAGGCTCCCGAAACTCTGAACCCGACACGCCCCGTCCTCTTTGGGGGCCTTGGGGGATTCGTCCACTTGGTCTGGCGCCTCGGGTGCAATGAGTGCGGGCTTTCTGTTCAGAACAAGCCGTGCACCCACTAGGAGTTCCTACAAGTAATGATGGGATCCTTCTCGTGGAGATCGGAAGCTCACATAGTTCCCAAATATGAACTTCCCGGCATTCCTGAGTCGCTCTCTGGCTCTGTAGCAGTACAGAAGGGAGACGATGTTTCTCGTCAGTTTGATTTTCAGCTACTGAAGCGATGCCCGGTTGAAGCTCCGTTACGCCAAACCCTGAACACCCTAATCATCCCTGGCCCTAAACCCTCCGAGTTTTTTTTTGGGGGGGGCCTCGGACGGAACGTCCTCGGCGACAGCAGGCAGTGGTCGAAGAGAGGCTGGGAGAGGATGCGACCTGCCAGTGTTCGGCTTTGTCTCGGTAGTTCCAGCAGCCTTATTCACGTAGGAACTTGTTTGTGGAATCCGGATTCGTCTTGGGGTTTTGAATATGGATCTTAATCTTACTCTTTTGGTGGAGCAAAGAGAGAGCCCATAAACTTGCAAACAGTCATTGCTTTTGCACCTGCGAAAGTCCTGCCCCCTCCTTCCTCGGACCCAGCCCCTTTTCGCCCGAAAAACCTCCCTGGGCCTGACAGCGAAGCGCGGGCGCGTCTGCTTCTTCGGCTGGGGCGGCTTTGGCTCCTGGCACTGACGTTCTAAGTGAGGTTTAGTGGGCCGCTTTTGGCCTGACAGCCTGCCAGGAAGGCTGCACCAGCAAAGGCGCGTGTGTCCGCAAGACAAGACCGCTAGCATCACAATATCTGGCTGATGGGCCGCAACTTAGACTTCTATATACCGTCTCTGGGCTGCTGCCCAGGCTGCCCTGAGCCTTCTGCAGAAGCCAAGAGTGAACGAACAAGACTGGGCCGTCTTGGAACATTCCATCGGGCTTTTCGTAAAGGGCTTTTTTTGACGGATTTTGGCTGGCATAACAAGGGGTGGAGACAACTTCTGGATCGATACTAGAAGGCCAAAACGGGTGGAACACAAAAGCATCAGGCTTCACCCCGGAAGAATATCTCTCCCTCAACTCTACCGCCGCCTTCGTCGCGCTGGCAGTCTCGGCTGCCTCCAACAGATTGTTTTATTTTCAGACGGAGAGTGCTTCAGGATTTTAAATGCCCCTTTCGTGCTTTAAAATCTTGAAGGCCCTTGTAGGGCCAATCGCAGGATCATTACGACCCAACGAACGGCCAACTCGACATTTGTCTGAAACCTTAACACCGAAACTCCCCCAACCCAAAAATCCATGACACCCACAAACCCTACTTAACCCATTGTGCCTGAGCTTCCTTGTGAGTCTCGGCCGGGACCACCACCGCGCGGTGGGCGCAACGTAGGCCCAGTTCTTCGGACAGGTAGACCTGGCTGGCACACATCGTCATTGACCATATCCTTACACGTACTGCGGAGGTAGGGGTCTGACGTGCGTTTCCTTCTGAGGGTTTGCAAGTTTGGCGTTTCTTATCGCCACACTGACTGTCCACTACCTCCATCATCTCGGAACCCCGGCTGCGACGTGTAACGGCACGGCTTTGGGCAATAGACTCTGCTCGAGAATTCAAGGCCGCTGCTACTGGGTCGTCCAAGGTTTGAAACGTGAGCCCTCCGGGAGTTCGCAGGTTGTAGGCTCCCCAAAGCCTCGTGAGGCCCTCTTGCGTTGCTATTTCCCTACTGTAGTTGCTGGTTGCCACTCGCGTGGGAGGAAGCGCTTGATTGTCACTGCGCACATCCACTCCCCATCACCTCCCCGGGCCTCTTCAGACAACGTGAATGACGGTGCCGAGCGGCGCCAGGATACCTACGATTGGGGAGGGATGCTTTGGATTACAAGTGGAAGCCACCTTAATCTCGTGACATGCAGCCAAAGGCACGCGCGGTGGCGCTGGCGGTGGCGGTGGCGGCGGGGGAGGCGGCGCTTGCTTGTTGGTCGGCGGAGCCTATTTACTGAGGCTGATGATGCGCTCTTTCCTTCTCCCGCCTCCTCCTCGCTCTACTTACTCTACTTACGATCCGCTAGCAACCATGCTCCGACTTCGAGCACAAAGTACATTCACGAACGCTACGTCAAGCGAAAACGCTGTAACTACCGTTGGTTCCGGTAGGCCGTTAAGGTCGTAAAAACACGCAGTGGGCAAATCAAGCCCAACAAAACTTCTGGTTCCTCGTAACGGAAGGACATCATCGCTACGCACCCACCCCGTACCTCCCTTTGGCTGCTGGACATGATTATTGCTAATGCACCCACTGGCACAGGTGACCTCGCCTTTGACTCCAAGACGAGAGTATATGCAGCACGACTGCGTCTCTGAATTCCAGAAACCCTGAGCCCCTCAACAAAATTGCGCCTCTTCCTCCGGTTCTGCACGGGGCACGCAAGGCTGCGCAGGCAGCGGCAGCACCTTGCACTCCGTCTCCTCAGAACAGGGTTGAGGACTTCAGGAAGGTTGGGCTGCCGTTAAGTTCAGACGCCCAAGACCCTGAGACCTGAAGCCGACGCCCAAACCAAAACCCCCAGACCTGATGTTTCAACCGAGGCAAAGCCTGTGGTGCGCGCCTCTTTGCACTGCTCTACCGCGGGCGTGACAGGGACACTGTCAGGCTCACCTGGAGCTTTTTGTCATGGTTTCCGGCGGCTTTAATGTCGAGTCATCTCCGGCCAGGCTGCACACTTTTGGCGCCACATCCCGGGCTGAGGTCGTCACGTGGTGTTGGCTGAAAGGGTGTGGACGCTATCGAAGACGACTCCTCGTCGATGGTAGGCAGCGCCAGTTTGACGACAAAGCCACCTCAGCCAAACCGCCTAGCGATACCGGACCTGATAGGAAGCAAACACCAGTGGAACAAGGTAAGCATGCGTCTCTATCCACGGTAACATGTTTACAAACTCAGCGAAGGCAAAGGCACGTGCCCAGGTCTGTTGCTATGGTCGTTCTGCCTCTCCTTCTTCACCCATCAGGCGGAGGATTCTCCGGTACTATCCGTGACAATGCGCAGCGAGGCTGAAACCCGTACAAAACAGGGCTAGTTGGATATGCCAAGCCATGGAAAGGCAACGGCGTCATTCACACGGTCGTTGCTGCTGTCATGCCTTCGCCGCTCCACCAACACCACCGCCTATACCACCCTCAGACACCACCACCGCCAACAGCAACAACAACCGCCCACACAGCTGTAATCATGATCACCACCGGCGGTACAAGCGGCTGCATCATCATCAGCATTCTAATCGTGATAGCCTGATCATCGTGATCATCAACATCATCGTCATCATCATCATCTCATCATCACCATCACCATCACCATGCCCATCAGCATCACCATCATCATCAACAACCACAACAGTTCTACAAATCTAATCATCCTGGCCGTCGTCATCAGCATCATCATCATCATCGCCACCATCATCACCACCGCCGCTGCCACCCCCACAAGCAGACCACCGCCACCGTCGCCATCATCATTGTCACAGCACCCTAATGATATCGAAACTTTAGCCACATTGTCTCAAGTGCATGCGAAAGCCACCAAGGCCCTCCGCGTCCATCGCGGCTCGCAGCGCGCTGCGCTGACGGAGTCGTGACTGCAGCCCATAACGTCTGCAAGGAGAGAGGGGGCGAAGGGAGTTCAGTAGTTGGCTATGATTGTGTTCAGGATTGAAGGGACTTGCTTGTCGGCAGGGATCCCAAAAACGAAAAACTCTCAAATTTGGGTCTCTCGGCGGGATTCGCAGGTCTTTTTGGAAGCTTCTGCCTCGCTGGAGCGATGCAGATGGCCGAAGCTGCAAGGAGCCATCCGCTCCGGTCCTTCAGCAGAAGAATCAGAGGCAGATGTCAGGTTTTTTGGGGGGAAGAGGATTCGACTGTGTCTCTTCAGGCTTCAGCTGCAACTGCCACCACATCCAAGCAGAACTAACACGAACTGCCTCCCTGCCCCTGTCTGCAGTAAACTGCTGATGGAAGGATCCTCGTCTACCACTGAGCACACCCAGGATTTATGACCCACGGCAAAAAACGGCAATCGTTTACACGAGAGAAAGAGTCCGCAGCGATGCGCAGATCAACGTGCTTCTCGCTAAGGGTCGTGCCGGATCCAACATGCTCATCCGCTCTCATTATTGGAGGCTCAGAGAGAGAGGGGAGGCTCAATATAGGGGCCTCGTTACTGACCTATATTGTTTCGGAGGTTCCTTATTATGATTATTGTATGGTGGGTCCCAAAACCCTAAGATGTCCTCTGACATGGGGATGGGCACCGCTTTGCTATCGGCTCAGAGGTTCCGTGCAAAGCTGATGCAAGAGAAAGGCGGGGAAAGAGAGCAAAGAAGAGGAAAAAACGGAAGGAAGCGAGGAAGCGCAGCCCAAGGACACAAACAGAAACCAGAAAAGGCTGAGCCGAAAAAGCCCACGTGCAAAACTCCAACTGCCAGGCTTCGAAGAGAATCAACATCAGATGGCATGAGACCAGTCCCAGGCTGGTAGTTGCAGGAGCTCGTGGCATCAACACACCGGCTTTCTTTGCCCGAGGGTACCACGAAGTCCCGTGAAGCAGATTGAACGGAACGAAAACCCGGATGCCGAAGCTTTGCAGGAAAGAGGCGATCCAATCCAACAGCGCTTCCAGCCTGAGGCAAAAAAGGACTCCAGTGCTCAGTAAGGCTTCTTTCACTTAGTTTGTCCTTTGGGCACAGGCCAAGCTCTGGACGAGAATTGTTGCAGGCTGCTTAACGCCAGGGTGAGGAAGCGGAGGTTGGGAGCGAGGCAGCGAGTACGATGCCAGTAGGGCGTAACTCAATTCGCTTCCTGCCATGTCATCATGTTGTCAGGTGTCCGCCACTATAGTCTATAGTCTGCTACTGGCTGCGTCATCTCTGCCTTCGCACAACTGTCCGAAGACGTTGGCAGCTGCTCCAAGAAACAGGAAAGATTCACCAAGAAACGGGAAAGATTCACAAAGGACAACTCTTCTCTGAGACCGCCGAGCAAGAGAAGAGCAATGTGAGCTCGGTTCAGGGCCTGATGCTTTTCCGGGTTTTTGACTCTCACGCTCGCACAAGGCCGGGGGGTTGGGATTTGGGGTATCGAATCTAAATGGGGAAGCCGCTTAGGCGCACCGCCCATGGAATCTGGCAAGAAACGCGTGGTCATCCTGAACAGTAGATAGAATTCTGAGCTGCTGTGTCCTTTCTACCCGAAGCCTCGATCTACTGGACATACACAAACCTCCGGTACATCCGACCCACACAGCCAGCCGCGGTGCCAGTGAGCTCCGTGCACTTTCTCCTCCGGGAGCGGGGCCTCGCGGAAGGCCAAGACTCCAAAACGAGCTGCTGGAAACCTGAACCTCATGGGATCCTCTCTGAGGGTGCCAATGCCGAGACTTCTGAGTTCGAGCATTTCGGCAAAAGCCCACACACCCCGGAATCACTCGCATCTTGCCCTGGCTACACTCTACGAGAAGTCATGCAAATGGCCAGAACTCGCGACAGTGGCCATGCTAAAGTAACGATGACGACAGCAGCGACAACAGCTACAACAGCAACCAAGACAATGAGCAGAGCGTTCATGGCAGTTGCAAACATCGCAACGAACACAACATGCACAAGCACCAGCCTAATCATTGCAAGCCTGATGAAGCGAGACAAGATGACGAAAACCGCCAAGGCCAACATCATCCTTTTCACAGCCCTAGCGGCCCTAGTGACAATGACAGAGTTTACGATGCGAGGCACTGGTGGCGGAATGGTGGCTCGAGTAGAATGCTGCTAAAGGAGGTGTTGGAATTCTGGACAATTGCCAAGTGCCAAAGCGAAAGCCATAATGCACGCTACTTCGTCTCCTTCCTTCTACCCTACTCCCCTGCATTGCCTTCTGTCTTTCCTTGGCACCTTCCGCAGTTGCTGCCTTGAAACTCAGCAACCCTTGTTCAACCGAGCGCTGAACCCTGATCCAGGAAACAGCAGACTTGAGCCATCAACACCAACTCCAGGTGCCTCCACCTCCTCCCATGGTTCCGCGGCCACGCCGCGAAAGGACGGAGCTGTTGGGGAAGCCACCTGTGCACGGCCCAAGCCTTAGGGCTGAACAACCTGGGAGCCCAAGAAGAATGACAGCCCAAAAGAAGCAAGTCATTGGATGCTCCACTGCACCGTTAGGACCTAAAACCTAAACAGGGGCCCCTCCATTTGCGAAGAAGCCACGCATTTCTCTGCACCCTCCACTAAATTCCCCATCGCCCCCGACCGAGATCCAGGCCTGGGGCTTCCGGATCCAGCCCCGCAAGTTCTCGGTGAGCATGGGCGTGCCTCAGAAGCAGAAGAAGTTACAGCGCAGAGTTTCAGGGTTTCAGGGCCAGAAACAGGCAGGGCCCCCAAGGGCGGGGTGGCGTGAACTAGCTGGCCGGTTGTGTGGAGCCTGCGAACCTCATCTCGGCAAATCACGTCCAGATGGCATGGGAATGCGCGACCGACCTGAACCTAAGCAACGGCTGTTGTCTAGAGGCAAAACAGCGGCTTCAACTCTCCACAACCGTCCCTCTCCGTGCCCAGCGGCCGAAGCCCAGCACGGCAGCCAGGAATAGCGAGGCGAAACAGACCATGGCTCTGCAGAGAGGCCGAACGCCCCGCTGCCCGAGCCCACGGCCGCGAGCTACTCTAAGGCAAAGCCCTGAAGCGGAGAGGCCGAACCTATGGGACCCAACTTCAGCACAGCTACGTTATACCTAAGTCAGCTGATTCGCAGTGTCAACCAAAGAGGCTTTGAGTGTTGTTCGACGGCCACCGGAAACGAAGGGCAAAACCATCGCGAAGCCCAATAAGAGCTGCGGCGTGCAAACATTTCAGAAATGGCGGCGGCCAAACACCTGTTTGGACATCCTCCTGAGCCTTCCACCCGGTGCAGTGGCCCCCGTTTTTGTCACGGCTGCTGTTCCTTTGCATCGAGCTCGTCCCCATACATGACGTCCATCTCACCGAAGAGCCGTTGAAGCATCTGCCAAGAGAGGTGTCGTACGGGGGACTTGAATAAGGACGGTAGAACATGTGCGTTGAAGGCTCTGGCCCGTTGAAGGCTCTGGCCGCATTGAATACTTAATTGAAGCTGATACGTCTCAATGCCGCATTCAAGCAACTCCATTCCTGGGAGACTAGGACTAGCACAGTACAGCAGAGCACTCAAGTTCGTTGGAGGCGTCGCCTCCAGCACAGCGGCTTCCAACATGCAGTGGAAGCGCATGGGACAGAATCCGTCTGTGACAGACCGTGCCACGGTGACAGCGCAGGGCCTGCAATAGCAAGGGTAAGTTCAGAGCACAAAGGTCTTTAACGCAAGCCCATATTGCCTAGGATCACGGATCTCCTCTAGTGGCTCTACGCCTGCATCGTGCAGAGCAGGACATGCTTTGGAAATCGTCTCCAATTTGTAGATGGTTTGAAGACAAGTAAACACTCCCCAGCACTTGTTTTGGACGTTGATGATGCTGACAGCTGATGGCTCATGAACGGTGCACCAATTGCACACTCAACCGAGCAGCGAATGCTTTTAAACAGCCACAGGAAACATGGAACACCCAAAGTGGCAACCATACAAGTCCTAGCCAGCAGTCATGAGACCCCCACCCCCTAAGCATAAATCCTGAAATTCCCTGTTGAGCACACAATCAATGCCCAAAGAACCCGCCGGAAGCCGCCAGAATCAACCTGCCCCCAGATGTCGCCTTCCTCCGAGCCGTGCCAGGAAGGACTCCACGGCCTTCAGCTGCTCCCGCAGCTCTGCGCTGGAGGGCCGAAAGCTCCTGGGAGCCGGAGCTGGGGCAATTTCTGCAGCTTTCTGCCGGCCTTGCTGTGGTCAAGACCCGATGATTCGACCAGGATCTACGAGTATCATGTGCATGATGAGCGAAATCGTGCTGCAGTCCGTGTTTTGGGTGTTTTTGTTGCCTTTGATGCTCCCTTCCCCCCAAAACTCAAAAACTGAACCCAAACCCTCAAAACGGCCCAAAGCTTCCACAAGCTCCGGATCGAAGCTGTTTGGGGCTCTCTTGTGCATTTCGGCTTTCGGCACAAGCTGGATCCTTGGAGCTGAGGGCTTAAGGGCCCCTAGGGGCCCCTGGATCGTTTTTCCTTGCTTCGGTTCGAGGGAGTCCTGCAGTGCACTCTGACGACTCCGCTTTCGCTTTGGAGTGTAATGTTTCTTCTTGTTTAGGGACCAAGGACCTTCCTTCCTGCGAGCAGGTAAGGCAAAGCCGGTACCCGGCATACTCCAAAACACCTTATATAAGTAGTGCTCTTTCCCGAGGCCTTGAAGCAACGTGAAGCCCGGAAGACCCGAGTATAACAAACGAAACCCATGGGCCCACCAACATGCACCAAAGCCACGGGAGGGAGATCATGTCACCGGCCTGAAGCCGTCGCAAAAAAAAAAAAAGCGCAGGGATGCGAAAGGAGCCGTGTGAAAAACTGTGTACCTCGCAGTCTGGTCCTGTTTGCCACTGCAGTAGATCTTTTGGAGGCACCGTCTCAGCTGCATCCCGAACGTAACGCAAAGGATTGTGTATCTGGCAACCAAAGCAGCATCAGCAACGTAGGGGAAACAGAGATGGCAACATCACCTCCAGGACGTCCAACCACCATCACCACATCAACAACTCACCGGCGAGGAGGGGGAGGGGGGGGGTGGGGGGGGATGGGTGGGGGCCTGTTTTGATCGATATATCAATTCTTTTGTGCTTGGGCCGGCGGTCCTCCCGGCCCACTGCTTATGCAAATAGAAACGAAAGCGTCGCTAGCAGTTTGAAACAAATCGGAGCCGTGCGGGCTGGCAGCCCGCAGCACCGATGGGAACAGGAGCCGCGCGGGCTGGCAGCCCG